GTCTGTTTCCATTGACCTCCCTAGCTACTCTGCTTTAAAAAAAATTAAAGAGGCCATTCAGAAAAACTCTTATATTTCTACAGAAGACAAAAAGATGTGTGAAGCAACTAATAATACAGTGCTGTAATTTTCAATATAAATTTCTTATTTCCTTGTTTCAGGATAAATGGTAAATAGACATGTTCCCAGCAGTGTGAGGTGAGTAATAGGAATACCAAACATCATTTCACTCCAAGGAAACCTGTTTGGCTCTGTTGGCCATCTATATCTAGAGCCTTCAGATGTAGCAGGCCACCAATTTTCAGGGCCACCGATTACTTTTCTGGGGAAAAAGTTTATTTTGCCAAATTTTAAAAACATACCATAAATGGGACTGGGAAAAAGGTGTAATATAAACCTATTGTGGTTTAAGTTGCTGTTCTTCACAAAATATTAAATGTGAATATACTTCTAAAACCTGAATAAACTGTGCATGAATAAGCTTATTGTGTATTTTTATATGTTTATAAGTACACTGATTAGTGAGAGGGATAAAAGTGAACTCAGTAGGAAAGCTCTGGAGAGAAACAAAAAAAGTGAGACCTTCTACCCTATAGCTAATATTATTTACCTTATTTAGGGAGGGACCTGGTTTATAAACTAAAGTAACTTTTAGTCAATAAGCCAATGATGTTTTAAACTTGAAGGCAGCTCATGTAACTTTCTTAACTGCTGACTTGTTAATAATTTTAAATATTATTTGTTCCCAAACCAATCTTTTTTTTTAATTAATTAATTTATTTTTTGGCTGCATTGGGTCTTGGTTGCTATGCGCAGGCTTTCTCTAGTTGCAGCGAGTGGGGGCTACTCTTCCTTGCGGTGTATGGGCTTCTCATTGCAGTGGCTTCTCTTTGTTGTGGTTCACGGGCTCTAGGCAGGCGGGCTTCAGCAGTTGCAGCACGCGGGCTCAGTAGTTGCAGCTCGTGGGCTCTAGAGTGCAGGCTCAGTAGTTGTGGTGCACGGGCTTAGTTGCTCCGCGGCATGTGGGATCTTCCCAGACCAGGGCTTGAACCCGTGTCCCCTGCATTGGCAGGCAGATTCTTAACCACTGTACCACCAGGGAAGTCCCCCAAACCAATCTTTATCATAGCCTTGTATTTAGAATTTCTGTGAGCTTGAAATCCTGTCCTTCCTTCACCAAGTGTCTGACACAAATATAATCCCATTACAACGGATGTCATTGCAACATTTTGTGTATCACGGGAAGTGTTTCCTATTACAGCCATGACTCTTCCTTAAAAGAATGTAGTCTGTATAACAAGACAGTTGGGGATAGTGCCTGTACCTAATCTTAATGAGCTTTGACTTTACAACATCCTGTGTACTAAGTGTGTTCCTAAAATCAATGCACATTGATTATAAAACCAGCAGATCACATGTCAAAATGCACTTGAGAAATGCTTTCTTCAAGGGCTGTGAGCGACTGAGTAAGGGGTAGCCAGCTGTGACCGGGCACCGCAGCGTCCCTCTGTGTCCCCCATTCTGAGTCAGCCACTTCACTCGCGCTCCTGTCTGCTTCTGTGTGGCCCTAGTGTTAGGGGTCTTCTGAGTGGTTTCTTGAGGAGAGAATAGCTGTTTGTCAAAACGAGGAAAAACCAGAGACTATCAACTTTAAGTAGAGAAGGGTAAGGTAGGAACTAGTCATTGGCACAGTTGATTTGTGTTTTTAAACCTGAAGACTTCTAACTTTGTCAGCTAAGGATGACCCATGGGGAAATAATAAACATTCCTGGGAAACCCTGAGAAAGAAGTTTGTTTGGTGAAGGTTGTGGTTAAGTTAGATGTGGCAGAGACTGCTGGCCATCCCCCAGTGTCTATTCTCCTCTTCTTCTTTAGAAGTAGGGCCCCCAAATTTAGTTTGGCCCGTGGCCCCTTAGCACAAAGACTTCATTTCCCAGTCTCTCTGGCAACTAGATGTGACCATGTGACTAAGTTCTATTCAATGAGCTATAAGTGGAACTGTCACATAAAATTGACGGGAAATGTCCTTGAAGGATGTGGACATACCCTAAGCAGCCCTTTCCTTCCTCTTGCTGAGATGGAAATCAAATCTGAGGATGGTAGAACTGTAAGAGAGGAGTTTGGATCCCAAATCATTTCATGTAGCCTCACCCCTCTCCCCACCTCAATCCTCAGGTACTTATCTTTGGACATCTTTAAGTGTGAAAGAGAAGTAAACATTTATCTTGCTTCCACCATTGTTATTTTGGTTCCTGTCGTTCTCAGCCAAATGCAATATTAATTGATAAAATGGGTAAAGAAAACATAATGATAAAGATAACTGCTGTAGGTCTAAATGTAGCTTTAAAATAAAAAGTAGTTCCTGATGTAGCTTCACTCATTTTTCCTCCAAAATGTCTATGAAACACAGAAAAAAGATGAAATTTGCAACATTAAAAACCAAGACTGAGTCAATTTATTTGAGAGAATTTCCTAATAATCCCTTCCTTTTTCTATTCACATAGTCAACAAATATTTTTTAAAATAACTACCATGTACCAGGTTTTAGACCCAGGGAGTATAGTGATGAACGAAAGAGAGACAAAGTCCCTGCCTTCATGGGGCTTCTATTCCAGTGGGAGAAGACAGACTACAAACAAGATAAACAAAGAACTATGTCAGATTGTATTTGTATATTAAAAAAAAAAAAACAAGGTAAGGGAGTAGAAAGCGATAGATGGAATGGGCAGGGAAGGTTTTTGGAGGAGATGACATTTGACCTGAATGAAGTGAAGGTCAGAGTCATGGTGATATCTGGAAGAAGAGCATTCAAGGCAGAGGATGCAACACATGCAAAGGCCCTGAGACAGAAACAGGCTTGGCATGTTCCAGGAACAGTGAGAAGATAATGTGGCTGGAGTAGAGTAAATGGAAAAAAGAAGTGGTAGGAAAAGGTGCCTGAGAGCTGGTCAAGGGCCAGAAAATGTAGGATGAATTGCTAGGAAGTCACATTTAACTGGACTAAAAACATGCATCGTGGTGCATTTTGAAAAGGAAATGTCTCCCTAAAAGTAGGTGGGAAGACCTCTTGTCCTCCCCACAACTACTACTACTATTGCTGGGTTCAAAGTCATAACATCTCCCATCATCAGAGAATTGGACAGCCAACCCTCTGTCGTCTGGGTGTTTTCCACCAAAATGCCTCTCTCTCCATACAATCAGAGGCCATCATCTCCGGAGACCATATCATCTCACTTAATCCTCTGGCAGGACGCTAATGGGGGTAGACTACACTGGCAGTGCACAGTGAATCTTGGGAGGGGTCGTAAAGTAAAGCACTATAGTTTGTGTGGAGATGGAAGAACCCCAGATGTAGTGGATGCTATAACTTTATGGTGCTGTTTCATGGTGAGAGTTTGAGCTCCAGGTGGTGACAGTAGGAGAAAATACTGTCTCTGTCCAAGAGAGTCATAATATTATAGTGCAAACATAGTAAATTTCACACAGTTGGGACATAATTCCAAACCATGTAGTTGTTTAAATAATTAAATTACTTGGATTTAGCTTATATTTCCTTCTTTATTTCCTTTCAGAAGTGTTATACACATAACGTCAGTTTACAAAAAAATAGTCTGATATAGCTTTCTTCACATACTAGGCTGGGCTAAATGCATTCTGTGGATTGTTTACCAAGGGTCAACTGGTAAATTATAAAGATGTATGAAGATGAACAAGGATGGCTTGAAATACACCTATGCCAGGGCTTATTTGGCCGGAGGGCCTCTTTTAGGAGAAAAACCTGAGGATCACATTGCTTTACAGGCATGACTCGTGTTATTAGTAATATTTCAAGGCAAGCCACTTAAAATACTGAGTGCTACTACCGGAAATGATCTTGTCTTCCATATGCTTTCAGGTATCTTCATTTAGGTGTACATCTTTGTGCCTACATTTAACATGTGTCTACATTTGTACTCTACAAAGGTATAGCATTGTGATTAAGAGAACAAATTCTGTAACAGACCTGGAGTAAAAATCTTAATCTCTACCGTTTCCTTGGGAAAGTGTTTTGGCCAGCTTCCGTTTTTGAAAAATGGAGATGATTTCTATATCAAGGGTAATAGTAAGAATTACACTAGTTAATGTACAAGGTGCCAAGCATGTTATATGTCACATGGTAGGCTTATTAAATATTTCTGATATTATAACTACTATCATTTGTAGGAGAGACTGTTGGGAATCAAAATTGTTTGTTGAATGAAAGCGCAGGCAACCAGTAGCACAGACTTGTTCCTCTCCTTTATAACTGCTTACGTGCCTAAGGACCGGGTCTCAGCTCACTGCACACTGTCACCCGAATCGCCCATCAATTTATCACGTAAGGCAATCAAAAAATTCCAGGTGTATCTTCCCGTAAGGACCCGATCTATTGAACTGGAAAGCTAAAAGTAAAGGCGTGTTAGCATACGGTATTTGTAGGGGTGAGATAGCAGGATGGGAGGGAGATGCAAGAGGGAGGAGATACGGGGATATATGTATAAGTATAGCTGATTCACTTTGTTATAAAGCAGAAAGTAACACACCATAGTAAAGCAATTATACTCTAATGAAGATGTTAAAAAAAATAAAGGCGTGACAATTGCCCTTCGACCCACCTCTCCCATAGGTCGCCTGCTCATTTAAATAGTGCGTTCCCTCGGGTGCCACTTGATAAAATTTTCTGAGCGCTCCTTGAGGATTCGCCAGAGGCGGCTGGAAGCTCGAAGTTCACCTGCCCAGGTGTCCGCGGCGCTCGGGGAGCCACCCTGGCCTGGCACCTGGGGGTCGGGTCCCCGAAGTCCCATTTCGGGGGGCTCTGCTGGCTGCTGCCAGAGCGTACCCTCCTTTCCCTTTCGCGAGACGCTGGGTGCCGGCGGGGACCGACACCTGCCAGACGCCTCTAATCCCCTTAGGGCGCCACGCCCGCCGCGCGCGGCTCGGGAATAAGTGAGCGCAGGGCGCGCAGGTGAAGCTCCGGCTCCGGCTGCGAGCCGCGGAGCCTCCAGTTTACGCGCAGGGCCCCGGCAACCGCGCGGCCATGGTCTCGCCGCGGGGCATCGGCACCTTCGTGGTGTGGGACTACTTAGTGTTCGCCGGGATGCTGCTCATCTCGGCCGCCATCGGCATCTACTACGCCTTCGCGGGGGGCGGCCAGCAGACCTCCAGGGACTTCTTGATGGGCGGCCGCAGTATGACCGCCGTGCCCGTGGCGATGTCCCTCACCGCCAGCTTCATGTCGGCTGTCACGGTCCTGGGCACCCCCTCCGAAGTCTACCGTTTTGGGGCCATATTCAGCATCTTTGCCATCACCTACTTCTTTGTGGTGGTCCTCAGCGCGGAGGTCTTTCTCCCGGTATTCTACAAACTGGGAATTACCAGCACCAACGAGGTACAGGGTGAGGGAGGGCCCGGGGAGAGGTGATGGGGTGAGGGGAGTACTTTTCAGCTCCTGGAGGGATTTTCCTGGGGGCAGGCTCACCACCACATCCAAGTCTCTCCCAGTTCATATCCATCACCTCTTCTGCCCGCCCCTTTTAGGGAGAGGTGTCCTGTAAAGGCGAAAAATAACCTCGGGACTTAACATTCATGAGCTCAGGGGAAGAGAGAGGCTCCCAGAGTAAACGGAGTTATTTGGACTAGTGCTCAGTAAGGCCATTTCTGCTTTAACATCTTTGATTCCAAGTCAAGGGGAAAGATTTTTCAACTTGTTATCTTGGGGAAGGGTAAGTCTCAGCTCCTCCTCCTTGAAAGGAATCCCCTCATTCCAGGTCCTCGGTCCACTCACTTTTCCAGGAAGTACGGGTACTCTCCCCTCCTTCCCTCTCGCAAACATGGCTTCCACGGAGAGTCAGGCACTCACATGGTTAAGGTTCTGAATCTCGTGTTTGAGACCAGATTCTATGCTTACTAGCTGGGTAACCTTGGCTGACTTAATTAACCTTTTGTGCCTCTTTCTAAGTCTCAAAATGGGAATAATTATACCACCTACCTCATCTGGTTGTTGGGGGGATTAAATGAGATGATGCAAGGGCAGCATTTAGAATAGTGTCTGGCACAGGGTAAGTGCTGAGTAAATGTTGACCATAAGTATTGGGGTGATGGTGGTAGAGGTTGTTCCCTTGGGATCACTAGGAAAATTTGGCTGCAGAGTTCTTAAGCATCTCCGCCTTCTCTCTCTGTGGAGAGATGATTAAGGGAAACCATCTTTCCAATTGCACAGGTCCCCTGGTTATGAATTTTCTCAAATCGTCTGCCGGAAAGGGCTTTGCAAAGATAGTGTGAATGTTTGGTTTAGTTTAAAGAGTTGTTGAATGGGAGTGTCAGGGGAGGATAAAAGTTTAGGGGAGTGGTCGGGCCCAGTTCCATGAGTTCCATGGACAAACCTGCAGAAGTGGTCTCTCTAACAGACCATTATCCAAGGACCCCGAGCCTCATTCTCAGCAGCCACCTTATCCTCGAGTTCATGTAGTGTTTGCCCCAACCCAGAGCCACTGGATGGTGGTTTCTTAGTGAGGCTGGTTCAGCTGGTGCTGGGGATGGGCCCCAAAGGCACAACAAGTGTTGGTGACACACTGCCTGGCCTCTAGTGAACTCATTGCAGGGTGAGGTGCCCCTGGTGCAGCACTGCCTTCTTTGCACTCTGGTCATGGTGTTTGAGAGCGTTTAGTCATCGCCCCAGAAGTGAGCAGAGTAGAGTTTCTTTGTTTTGCTCAAAAGTGACAAACTGATTACCCCAGACAAACTCAGTTTTAGGTCTTTTTTGTTGCTGTTGACGCTTATAATGTTTTGAAAAAAAATTAATTTAGCATTTAATGATGAGAAGTCAAAGAAAATTCCAGATTCTGACTTCTTCTGAAACTTAAAAGACTAGTGACACTGGGCCCACACTCCCTGTGGCAACAGGAACCCCACTTTACAGCCGTTTCTCTCATTCCCTATTAATTTCTATATTGAGGTCTCTTCATTGTATCTGCATGGTTACTTTCTTATGGTAGAGAAATCTATCTGCATTTAGGTCTTTATCAAAAATGCAAAAGGGAGCTTCCCTGGTGGCGCAGTGGTAGAGAGTCCGCCTGCCGATGCTGGGGACATGGGTTCGTGCCCCGGTCCGGGAAGATCCCACATGCCGTGGAGCAGCTGGGCCCGTGAGCCATGGCCGCTGAGCCTGCGCGTCCGGAGCCTGTGCTCCGCAACGGGAGAGGCCACAACAGTGAGAGGCCCGCATACCGCAAAAACAAAACAAAACAAAACAAAAATGCAAAAGGGAAAATGGAAAGGACTGAAGGGAGTTCTTGCTTTGAGGGAGATGTCAGAGGACATATTTCTTAATGGATATGAGGAATATTTCAACCTGGTAATATATGAACGCCTGGCTGACCCAGTTGGTGTATTTCACCTGATGAGATCTGTAGGCATTTCGAGTCCGTGAGCTCTGATCTGTAGTTAACCAACTCCAAAACCCAGAAAGGGTTTGAAGAACGTGGCAAGAGGACTTCAGTCCCCATAGGTGAATGCTCCTCTCATAATCACTGACCTGTGCCTCTTCGGGTGAGCAACGTTAACTCAACCAGAAGCAGATTTCCCACACATTTGCAGGGGTGGAGGCTAAGTTAGCAGAGTTCCAGCTAAAAATGGCAAAAAGCAAACATTTACTGAATGCTTAATACAGGCTGGGCACTGGGTTGCCTGTTTGACATACATTATCTGACTCAATGCTCAAAATAATTCTTATACTGTGAGAGCCCCATTTTGCAGACAGAGATTCCGAGTAAGTTAAGCTACACAAGAGAGCCTGAAGCAAAGTGGACACATGCCTAGAGGCTGTGCAGTGGTGCATACTGGCTGCTTCTGAAGGCTCCGGTGAGTGTTATAACCCTGAGTGGAGTTTAGAATGGTGCAGGCAAAAGGGACATGGTGCAGGACACAAGGGGCTGTGGACACACTGGGGGTGTCCACGCCTAGTGGATGCCAGGCCACTGGGGACAGGGAAGTTAGGTAACGTGCTGTGTCCCTGGCAGTTGGTCATGGAAAACACTTTCTTGTGGCATATTTTGTTCGTTTTATGCTGAGAGGTGGAATCACCTATACAGAATAAGAAGTCCAGCATTGAGATACCCTGGCATTCTTGTGCAAGTATGAAATCTTTCCCTAGTTCCAGATTGTTAGCTACAATTGGCTGTTCAGAAGCATTTGTGATATCTATTTATCACTGCCTTCAAGGTGTAGTCCTGATAGGTGTATAGCGACTTCCAGATTCACAGAGAAGAAATATGCAGGAGCCCAACTGCATTCACCATCTCTTCAGGATGTTTCTGGACCCAGCAAAATCAATGTATTTGAACTACGTTGCCCAGACTCTCTCTCTCTCTCTTTTTTAAAAAAAAATCAGTAGAAATCTTAGTGTCCCTAAGTTATTCAAAGTACTGAGGACTATGAGAGATCTGAACTGACTATAGGTGTGACTGAACCAAACTTGGGTCCGCTCGTCCATGCGCAGTAAAGCCAATCTACTGACACCAGGTTGCAGTGGAGGAAAGTGCAGCTTTTATTATTAGTCTGGGGCAGCTAATGATAAAAAAATCCTCAACTCCCCCAGTGGGTTTTAGGGAAGCATTTTTAAAGGCAAGGTGAGGGAGGGGAGTCACAGAGTATGTGACCACCTTGTGCACAGTTCTCTGATAGATTGGTGGGGAGGTGATAGGGCAGTGTCACAGGGGTTAACATTATCAATCCTCAGGCTCCAGTAGGTCTGGGGCTACATGCTCATGGTCATCAATTAATTAACTTCTTCCATTTGATGGAGGTTTTAGCATCTGTAAAACAACTCAGGAAATGTGCATCAGATACTGTTATCTTGGTACTTTGGGGAGGAACTAAAGATTCTGTGACTGCCATATTGCTGATTTACTGTTTGAATTGTTACTAGTTCTCCTGGCCCATCTGCTCCTTTGTCACTACATGCTCACACCCTTTCAATCATTAATTCTTGAGCCAGGCTTTTGTGACTCAGGGGAGGCCTGGAAGACTACAGCTGTTCTATAAACAAGAGGCAGGCAGAGGACATGGGGGCAGGGGTCTGTCCCAGGAAGTTACCATAGGGTCCTGCTTGGTAACATAGACACCTACTGTTATTCTGTGGTTTTGTCTAGAAATCCTAGAGCTATTCTCTGAGCCTACTGATCAGTGACTTGATCTTTAGGTATTTCTTTAGCAGCCCAGTATCTGAGATGGACAAGACTGTCCCCTGCCATTCGGTAAACAAAGGATGTTGTGGCCACCAAGCCATCAGCCACTGCAGCCACCCCCCATGGTGCACCCTGAGGGGAATCCAGGATGGAGAAAAATAGGATACTGGCCCTAGATAGATAAGATGTATATGAAAGGAAGGCTTTCAGTAAGCTCAGACTCTTGCATTTTCCCATACACAGAAAAGCACTAAAATCATTAACTTTGTCAGTTCTTTGTGATTAGCAGTAATCTTTTGATGTTCAACTACATGTTTTGTTTTGTTTTGTTTCCCAGCAAATACTCCTATGTATCCTGGCTCCTCCCTTACCTCTTTGGAACAGACCCTCAGAGCTGTCTGAGAGGCTGCCACCCTGGGCTATAGTCCTCAGTATGGCCTCAGAATAAAACATAATTCTCAACTTTTAGGTTGTGCACTTTTTTCATTCAACACTGAGATAGTGATAGAATTCTTGGTTCTGTCTTGAGTTAGTATTGTGAGAGGGGGAAATATATATATATATATATATATATATATATATATTTTTTTGTTGTTCAACTTGCTACATTCTTACCTCCATCACATTTTCCTCTTCAGTTTTCTTTAGTCTCCAGCAGTATGAATATACGTACCTAGAAAAGGCAAAGACTTCTCTGTCAATTCATGGACATTTATTTTTAATAGAGTTTTACTAAAACAACTCAGAAGAAATAACACAGCTCTGTTCCCATGCTTCAAGACACTTCCTGGGTTTTCTAAAAAGTCTTCCAAAATACACTCGGATGATTTTGACTTATGTAAATCACTGAGATTTAAATTCTCAGGCCTATGGATTTGGTTACCAGCTTCGTAATGTCCTAACTCTTAAGTGAACAGTTTACAACATTTCCCCATCCATTTACATCGTTTGATAGTCTCCAAAATCCTGCAGAGTAAGTGGGGAAAGAATGATTACTAGGATCCACGTTTTCAAAAGGAGGAACTTGAGATTTAGAGTGTCCCAAGCTCGTGGAGTCAAGAGTAGGGCTGAAACAAGGGCTGGAACTCTTGCCCCAGAGCACTCACTGCGCTGCATTGCATATTCATTACTCATCAGTTATTTTAGGACGTCCTGTCATGTGTCAGTGCCACTCACTCACTCTGGATGGATCTTAGACACATGGGCAGCTTTCTTGTTATTTTGAATAACAGAGTGGTTAGGTGCACAGAGTTTGGCATCAAATGATCCTAGATTTGCATTGTGTCTCCAGCAATTATTAGGTTGCAGCCTTGGTATTCTCTCTGTGCCCCAGTGTGCTGGTTTCCAACATGCACTTATGCATAGTAACTGCCTCATGGAGCTGTTGGGAGGACAGGGCATGCAGCAAATACTCTATAAATGTTAGCTGTGATTATGAAGCAAAAATATCTGGGGTCTTTTCCTCTGATATTCACCTAATGTCAATTTTTCCTCCCTCATTTTTGCTGTTATATGAAAAGACTGCTGTCAGCCTTAGAATCCTCTCTATGTGTAGCAATAATATTCAACTTAAAGAATGTCTTGGACCCCGGCTTCCTTCCAGCTCGAAAATCCTAGGATTCTAACTCTGTAATACATTATGATCTATAATATTGGAGATAAGCACACTACTGACATACCTCAGAGATATTACAGGTTCAGTTCCAGACCACCACAATAAAGGGAATATTGCAATAAAGCGAGTTGCACGAAGTTTTTTCTTTTCCAGTGCGTATAAAAGTTACGTTTACACTATGCTGTAGTCTGTTAAGTGTACAATAACTCTGTGTTTAAAAAGCAATGTACATACCATAATCTAAAAGTATCTTATTGCTAAAAAATGCTAACCATCATCTGAGCCTTCAGCGAGTCGTAACCTTTTTGCAATAGTAACATCAAACATCACTGATCAGAGATCACCATAGCAAGTATAATGATAATGAAAAGTTTGAAATATTGCAAGAATTACCAAAATGTGACACAGAAACATGAAGTGAGCAAATGCTGTTGGGAAAATGGAACCGATAGACTTGCTTCACACAAGGTTGCCAGAAACCTTCAATTTGTAAAAAAATGCAGTACCTGTGAAGAACAAAAAAGCAAAGTGCAATAAAATGAGGTATGCTTGTATATTATAAGATATCGCAGATGTCACGCTTGGCTCTGAACAGAAACTTACTTAGGCTGATTTAAGTTAAAATTTTTTATTGTAAGGACATGGGAGTAGCTCATAGCATAGGTGGAAAAGCTGAGCAAACAGACTTTGAAAAGGACAGAAGGGAGGGCAGCCTCTTCAGGCCACCCTGTCAGGATCAGTCTGCTTCTGCTCCAATCATTTTCTGTCTTTATATCTTGCCTCTAAGATTCAAATACCCATCGAGAAGAGAAGCTGATTGGCTGAACATGGGTCCTGTGACTATCTTTTGGCCTAGGCTGAGCACCTTGATTGTCAATTCCACAATTGCCTGAAGTGGGAAAGGGTTGATTCCCTAAGTGTATCAAAGGAAATGTATTGGGTAGATACCAAGAGAAAGGGGAGGACAACGCTTTGCTCATTCTAAAAATGCAGAATATAATTCCATTAGTATGACATTCTGCAAAAGGCAAAACTCGTAGGGATGGAGAACAGGTCAGTGATTGCCAAGGTTTAGGGGTGAGAGGAGGGTTTGACTACAAAGGAGCAAGAAAGGAGAAACTTTTGACGGAGTTTCCTGTGGGTGATGGAGCTGTTCTGTGTTAAAACCCATTGAACAGTACTCTAAAGCAAGGGTCAATTTTTCTCTATGTAGTTTAAAATAACAGTGAAATAGGAATGCAGAATACGAATTAGTTATGAAGTTGCTTTAAATTTCTAACTCCTTTACTTCTTAAGCTGCTGGTTCTTTTTTTTTTTTAATTAATTTATTTATTTATGGCTGTGTTGGGTCTTCGTTTCTGTGCATGGGCTTTCTCTAGTGTGGCAAGCGGGGGCCACTCTTCATCATGGTGCGCAGGCCTCTCACTATCGTGGCCTCTGTTGCTGCGGAGCACAGGCTCCAGACGCGCAGGCTCAGTTAATTGTGGCTCACGGGCCCAGTTGCTCCGCAGCATGTGGGATCTTCCCAGACCAGGGCTCGAACCCATGTCCCCTGCATTGGCAGGTGGACTCTGAACCACTGTGCCACCAAGGAAGCCCAAGCTGCTGGTTTTTAAAAAGTGTCCAGAAGTTTTACATATTAACCATTTTTCCTTTTTTGGAAACAGTATTTAGGACTTCGATTTAACAAATACGTTCGTCTCTGTGGAACAATCCTCTTCATTGTTCAAACAGTAAGTAACCCTCAGTTCATTTATTTTTTCTTTTTTTCATGTACAATGTTTTTAAACAAGGGATCTGGGTCAAGCTTATTTGGTAAATACATGAAAGATTAAAAAGGGATGATGAAAATAGGAGGAAACAAAAAAGGAAAAACACTTGTCACTACATAACATTAATCCTTAAGATCATTGAACAGTGTTTCAGCAAATGCATTACTTCCTGGGAAAACAGAATGATTTAAGTAAACATGGAATATTATATTGATCAAGCAACACTTAACATTACTTTAGGAAAGTATGGTTTTCCCTCTTACACCTCCCTCTGTCCCCACCAAAGTGACAGTAAGGGCATTACTGAGATGACAAAGATATTTGAAGGAACCGTAGTAGCTGATAGTAGGAATTGTAATAAAGGGAAAACAAGTTGTATGTTTCATAGTATTTTGCAACATGTTAAGCAATAAGCTTAATAGGAAAAATTAACTGACATAGGAAGACATTAGGTAATAATTTTCTTTGAAAGCATACTTTAAAAAATGAATCAGTGCTCTCTTTTAAAAATCGAACTGTAAAACCCAACTGATGTACTCATTGATATAAAACAACAAAATCATGCACTCCGGAGGAGTTTTTAAAGCCAACTACACAATCCAGTACTTCAAGAATATGCAAGTGTAGATTTACTGCTTGGCACAAATGGAAAGCAAAGATTTGCCAAGCAATCAGTGACAGAGAACGCTTCCCACCCTTCATCCAGGCTGCTGGAGGCTTATCACTATCATTGTCACATCATTTAGACCTATCTTCCTCTTGGCAGCTAAGTGCTTTAAGAATGAGTTTGATAATGGAGGTCCAGGAAGGAGTTTTCATTCTCATCCGTTTTTATAATTCCATTTCTCCATTCAAAAGCTACCGAAACATTTGCTACAGCAGGACAGAGTGCCTTTGCAATTATTTAACTTGACTCCATTTTACATCTTTGTAAATTATGTAACTTAAATTGTATCTGTCCTTAACACTTGCAGTATAAAAGGAAAGAGCCCTCTGGGGTCTGGTAGAGATTCTGACACAGAGCCGAGGCTGGTAGCTCGCATTCGACAGCGGAGTTCAGACACTCTTTGGATCATCGTTAGAAGTGCCAACAGAAATGAAAAAGTGGGGACAAATGTTAGGAAGGTGGCCTGTGGTCACATTTTCAAATCTTTAACTTGGACAGAATAATGACTGTGAAAAGCTAGTTCATTCTTGCAAAAAGAGGGGAGCTTTAGAATCTGCTATTTGAAAGACTTACTTCCATAGATCACTCATGCAATTTAATCATTCAACTACTATATAACATTTTTTTATATGTTTTATACAGTAATCATAGAATTAGCTTCTATGTATTTGAAAGATCAAATGCAATGAAAATGGTATTCTGAGAAAAAAGAACATATTTATCTTACTGTTGTACCCCAGATTAATAAATATTTGTTAAGTGTACGAATGAAAAATAATAAATAATATTTAAAAGGTAGAATAGAATTTTTGTTGGCTTTCAGGAAATTTTAGGGCAAATTTACACTTTTGTTTAATTAGTGGTCATGCAAACTTTTACAGACAAGGTTCCACAATTTTCACTGTTTTCCCAATTAATTATACAGTGATTAACAACAGCTTGAAAGCATATGAATGAGGAAGCATCCCCTTTTAAATTTGTATTCTTTCTCTCTTTCTAATTGTTCTAGATCTAGGAAAATTGATTTCAAACTTGAATTGATGTATCAGTGACTATACGCACTAAGTACAACATGAAAAGTCCGTATTTTTACACAAAATTGGTCATAAAAGATTTTTGTGACCTATGACCACACCACAAATGGAAAAGGAGAGTCAACTTCACTTAAATAACATTTTTCAAGTTACAAGCAAATTTTATCAAGTATATTGAAACTGTAGTTTTAATTCATAATTAAATTTATAGAAAAATATCAATATTTCATTTTGTAATTCATATCGTTTATTTGGTTTTCTTTTTCCCCCTAGATTTTGTATACTGGAATTGTTATCTATGCCCCTGCCCTGGCTTTGAATCAAGGTACATTTTAGAGTTACCAATATGTCACTCTCATTTGGGGGTTCACTTTTAACCGACCTTATTCTATCTTTGGGGAGATGGGGAGGTGCAGGAATGCTTCCAGTAACCTGCATCAGCTTGAGGCGGGCCAGGTGTGTTCAGTGTCTACACTAGCAGCTTCTTTGGGTTCCTGGATCATAGCTTCAAAAGTTCTGTAGACTTCACTGGGCGGTGTTTCTCTGGGATGTGCCAACCAGCCATTCTCCACCCCTTCAGAATGAACGCCCCCTGTAGTCAAAATCATGAAAGACTGCACTTCCTCCCTTTGTGGCTATAACTTGGAGCCCATCTCCAAGAGGCTTCTGTGTTATCCAGCTCAGACTCGGTCCCGTTGTAAAATCTGGCAGGGAGAGAAACTTTTCTTCTCCCCATTTCTCATGTGGTCCAAAATACAAGAAACAGATATCTGTGTGATTTGAAATATCAGATTGCTCCTAGTGACCAAAGGACAGATGGCTATAGTATCCCTATAAACAAATGTGTGATGATTGTAGTGATCAGCAGATTACTGTACTCTCTAGATGTGGGCAGATAATAGCTGTGAAACTGAGATTGTTTATTGTGGCAAATATGTGTGTTAGTCATACCTTCAAAAGCCTTCAGGGGAACTCTGTATTCCCTGAATTCTTATCAATCAGAAGTGAATTTATCTCTAAAACTTCCTTGTAAAATGGACAAGTGGACTCTGTGATGGGAAGAATGTGGTACACTTCCTCAAGTTAATATAAAATGGACAGACAACCCCAAAGAAAACAAGAAAAAAAAAAAGAAAGAAAATGGAAAACCCCAGCTAACTCCACATTCTAATTTCCTGATTTCATAATACATAGATAATAAAGCACAACAGTATTGTTACAAAGAAGAACTCCATTATATAACGTGCTATTGAATTCTGAATGTCAGGCTTGTTCCATGTCGATATTACCAACATCATGGTTGGATCACTTCATATGTAAAGAGCTGAACTATGAACTTCATAAGTTACCTATCGGCTTTAAGTGTAACTAAAGATGTTGGCTTTTGAGTTTTAAAGTGCAGTTCTGGGCATGAGAAAGCACTGCCTTCAGTGCTTCAAGAACTCTGTTCTTATCAGTTCATTGAGCCACTCCCCAGGAGTAAATTAGGATCCAAGGACTGCATTTTGACCATTTGAGTACCAGTTGTGTATTTTACTGTACCAAGGGAGTAGACACAAGCATAGACAGGGTACTTGGTGTGCAACAGATGCTCCATAGAAACTTGTTTAGCTGAATTGGAACTTAACATTCTCTAGATACAATTTTTTTTAACTTTTTTTTTTAATTACAGAAAGCTTCAAACATACACTAAAATAGAATAGTGTATTGAACCCTAATGGACCCTTAACTCTACACTAATAATTATCAACTCTTGGTTTAATTCACTTCCTATTTCCCTCACTAGATTATTTTGCTGTAAATCTGAGATACTTTATCATTTCATCTGAATTCCATATGTCTTTTACATACTTTTTTTCATTGAGGTATAATCAACATATAACATTATATTAGTTTCAGGTTTACCATAATGATTCAATATTTGTATATAATACAGTGATCACCACAATAAGTCTAGTTAACATCCATCATCATACATAGTTACAAAATTTCTTTTCTTGTGATGAGAGCTTTTAAGATTTGCTCTCTTAACAACTTTTAAAATATGCGATACAGTATTATTAACCATGCTGTACATTACATTCCGATGACTTATGGATTCCATGACTGGACGTTTGTACCAGGATGTGTGTCTTTTGTTTTTTTTTTAATAAATTTATTTATTTATTTTTGGCTGCATTGGGTCTTCGTTCCTGCACATGGGCTTTCTCTAGTTGTGTTGAGTGGGGGCTACTCTTCGTTGTGGTGTGCAGGCTTCTCATTGCGGTGGCTTCTCTTGTTGCGGAGCACGGGCTCTAGGTGCACGGGCTTCAGAGGTTGTGGTGCACAGGCTCAGTAGTTGTGGCTCGCAGGCTCTAGAGCACAGGCTCAGTAGTTGTGGTGCACGGGCTTAGTTTCTTCATGTCTTGTGAGATCTTCCCAGACCAGGGCTCGAACCCATGTCCCCTGCATTGGCAGGCGGATTCTTAACCACTGCGCCACCAAGGAAGTCCAGGATGTGTTTTTTAAACACAATTGTACCTTTATCATTTCTAAAACATTAACATTAATACCTTAGTGTCATCAATATAAGGTCAGTGTTCAGATTTCCCTGATTTTTTTTTTCAGTGTTTGTTAGAGTCAGGATCCAGATAATTTCAGGTAATTGTAATTATTTCATTTGTCTCTTACATTTCTTTTTCTTGCTTTTTAAAATCGAAAACCATATTTTATTGAGATATATTGTAGCTTATATACAATAAAATGCCCAGAACCTAAGTGCACAGTTGGATGAATTTTAACAATTTTGTGTACTTGTGTGACAACCACCCAACTCAAGATATACAATATTTCTATCATCAAATCCCAGAAAAATTTTTTTGATTCTTTCTAATGAATCGCCCCTTCCATTCCAAGCAGCCAGTTTTTATCACCATAAATTAGTTTTTCCTGTTCTTAGATTTTATATAGTGCCTTTCTGCATCTGGTTTCTTTTGCTCAACAAAATGTTTTTGTGGCATTCATTCATGTTGCTACATGTATCAGTAGTTCATTCCTTTTTATTGCTAGTATTTTATCATATACATCTACAAAAATCTGTTTATCCATTCTGTTGTTGATGGATGTTGGGTTGTTTCCAGTTTTAGGCTATTTTGAATTAAGACTGCTAAGCGCATTCTTATACAGGTTTTGTTTTGTCTTGCTTTACTTTTTTTTTTTTTTTGCGGTACGCAGTCCTCTCACTGCTGTGGCCTCTCCCGTTACGTAGCACAGGCTCCAGACGCGCAGGCTCAGCGGCCATGTCTCACGGGCCCAGCCGCTCCGCAGCATGTGGGATCTTCCTGGACCGGGGCATGAACCCGTGTCCCCTGCATTGGCAGGCGGACTCTCAATCACTGCACCACCAGGGAAGCCCCTTGCTTTCCATTTTGACACACATTTTCATTTTTAGTGGATGAATACCTGGAAGCAATATACAGTTAAATACACACTATTCTGACCCAGCACAGGGTAGGTGCATGTAAAAAATTTACGAGAAACTGCCAGATAGCTTTTCTAAGTGGTTCTATCCTTTTGCACGCCCACCCCACGATGTGTGAGAGTTCCAGTTATTCTGTGTCCTTGCCAGATTTTGTATTTGTCTTTTCGACTGTAGCCATTCTAGTTGTATGATCTATTATCTTATTGTGGTTTTAATTTGTATTTTTCTGATGACTGTTGATATTGAGTTTACTGGCTCGTAGAATAATAAAATGAATACAAAACAGACAAATAACCTAGCAAAAAGTGGGCAAAAGACTTGACCCGTCACTTTACAAAAGCAAATATTCTACCAATCCATTACATAGCCTATTTATCCGTTTACCCAGGCCTTTTAAAATTTCTCTCAGTAATGTTTCTCAGTTTTTGATATTGAAGTCTTGTACATATTTCTTAGATTTATTTCTAGATAATTGATGTTTTTTATGCTATTGTAAATGGTATTGTTTTATAATATCATTTTCTAATTATTCATTTGCAAGGATGGAAAAATACAATTGCCTTCTATATGTTGATCTTCTGTCCTGAGAACTCACTAAATATATTCATTAATTCAAGTAGGCTTTTGGCATATCCCTTATGATTTTCATGTTGTTTATGAATAGAGACAGTTTTACTACTTCTTTTCCTGTCTGCATGCCTCTTATTTCTCTTCTTTGTCTTAATGCACTGTTAATGTAGAAAATTATATTGATTTTCAAATGTTAAACCAATTTTCATCCTTGGGATAAACCTCACTTGGTCATAATATATTAACCTTTTTATATATTGCTGGATTTGATTTGCCAATATTTTGTTAAGGATTTTTACAGGTTATGAGGAATATTGGCCTGAAATTTACTTTTCCTTTAATGTCTTTGTCAGGATTTTGGTATCAATTATACTGGCTTTATATGATCTGGGAAGTGTTCCCTCCTCTGTTTTCTGAAAGAGTTTGTATAAAACTGTGTATTTCCTTCTTAAATGCTTGAAAGAATTCACAATGTGGGCATCTGGGCCTGATATTTGTTTGTTTTCATAGAAAGGTTTTGGTATATGGATTCAGTTTCTTTGATATAGAGTTATTCATATTTTCTTGTTCTTATTGAGTCATTTTGGTGAACTGTATTTCTTGTGAACTAGATCTAGAAGCTTTCTCAGACTTCATTTCAACTTTTTGGAGAGACTATTCCATATGCAGTTTTCAACTCTTTTGAGTTAATACCAAAGAGCGCAACTGCGGGATTATATGATAAGAATGTGTTTAGTTTTGTAAGAAACCACCAAACTGTCTTCCAAAATGGCTGTTACCATTTTGCATTCTTATCAGCAATGTATGAAAGAGTTATGTTGCTCCACATCCTTGCCAGTGTGTGATGTTGTCAGTGTTCCAGATTTTGGCCATTCTAATAAGTTTCTGGTTTTCATTTACACTTCCCTGATGACATATTGTGTGGAGCATCTTTTCATATGCTTATTTGCCATGTATATATCTTCTGTGAGGTGTCTATTAAGGTCTTTGGTACATTTTAAAATCAGGCTTTTTTTTTTACAGTTGAGTTTTAAGAGTTTTTGTATAATTTGGAGAACAATCCTTTATCAGATATGTCTTTTGCAAAATTTTCTTTCAGTCTGTGGCTTATCTTCTAATTCATCTGATATTATCTTTCACAGAGCATATGTTTTTTAATTTTAATGAAGTCCAGCTTATCAATTATTTCTTTCATAGATTGTGTCTTTGATGTTTTATCTAAAAAGACAACATCATATACAGGTCTATGAGCCATCTTGATTTTAATCTTGGTGAAGGGTGTAAGGTCTGTGTCTAGATTCATTTTTTTTGCATGTGGATGTCCTGTTGTTCCAGCACCGTTTGTTGAAGAAACTATCTTTGCCCCATTGAATTGACTTTACTCTTTGGCCAAAGATCAGTTGACTTTAATTATGGGGGTCTATTTCTGGGCTCTCTGTTCTTTTTCATTGATCTATTTGTCTATTCTTTCACCAGTATCACACTCTTGATTATTCTAGTTTCATGTTAAGTCTTTTCTACTTTTTAGTTTTATTTTTTTACTTTTGCCTGCATTGGGTCTTCGTTGCTGCGTGCAGGCTTTCTCTGGTTGCAGTGAGCAGGGGCTATTCTTCATTGCGGTGCACGGGCTTCTCATTGTGGTGACTTCTCTTGTTGTGGAGCACGGGCTCTAGGTGCACAGGCTTCAGTAGTTGTGGCTCGCAGGCTCTAGAGCACGGGCTCAGTAGTTGTGGCACATGGGCTTAGTTGCTCTGCAGCATGTGGGCTCTTCCCAGACCAGGGATTGAACCTGTGTCCCCTGCATTGGCAGGCGGATTCTTAACCACTGCACCACCAGGGAAGTCCTCATATTAAATCTTGAAGTCAGGTACAGTCAGTTCTCCAGCTTTGTTCTTCTCCTTCAATATTGTGTTGGCGATTCAGAGTCTTTTGCCTCTCCATATAAACTTTCGAATCAGTTTTTCAATTATCCACAGTTTGTCATTATCCACAAAATAGCTTTCTGGGACTTCCACTGGGATTGCACTGAATCTGTAGATTAAATTGGGAAGAACTGACATCTTGACAGTATTGAGTTGTCCTATTCATAAACATGGAATATCTCTCCACTTATTCAGTTCTTTCATTTCATTCATCAGAGTTTTGTAGTTTTCCACGTATACATCTTGTATATATTATATTTTGTTAGATTTATAGCTAAGTATTTCATTTTGGGGGGTACTAAGGTAAATGGAAATGTGCTTTAAATTTCAAATTCCACCTGTTTTTTGTTGGTATATAGGAAGGTGATTGACTTTTGTTTATTAACCTGTATCCTGCAAACTTACTATAATCATTTATTAGACCTGGGAGATTTTTTGCCAATTATTTCAGATTTTCTACAAAGATGATCATGTCATTTGTGAACAAAGAGAGTTTTATGTCTTCCTTCCTTCCTTTGTACCTGTTCTTAGTGGGAAATCTTTGAGTGGCTCACCATTAAGTATAATGTCAGCTGTAAGTTTTTTGTAGATAATCTTTATCAGATTGAGAATGTTCCCCTCTATTTCTAGTTAATTGAGAGATTTTATCATGAATGCATGTTGGATTTTGTCAGATGCTTTTTCTGCATCTATTAATTTGATAATATGATTTTTCTTCTTTAGTCTGTTGATGTGGTGGATTCCATTAACTGATCTTCAAATGTTGAGCCAGCCTTGCATATGGTGTTTAATTCTTTTTATGCTCTTAAAATTTGATTTGCTAATATTTTGTTGAGGATTCTTGCATCTATATTCATGAGAGATATTGGTCTGTAGTTTTCTTTTCTTGTAATGTCTTTGTCTGGTTGGTATTAGGGTGTTGCTGGCCTCATAGAAGGAGTTATAAAGTATTCCCTCTGCTTCTGTCCTCTGAAAAAGACTGGTATAATTCCATCCTTAAATATTCAGCAGAATTCATCACCCTCTGGGTCTGGGGCTTTCTGTTTTGGAAGGTTATTAATTGTTGATTCAATTTTTAAAGTAAATATAGGTCTATTCAGATCATCTATTTTTTTCCTGTGTGAGTTTTGGCAAATTGTGTCTTTCAAGATATTGGGTCATTTCATCTGGATTTTCAAATCTGTGGGCATGGAGTTGTTATCCTTTCATTTAAAAAGTATAATATGCCCCTTTACTTCTTAAATAAATGGTAACAAATTATATAGACTTTTCTTTATCTTGGCCCCATTTGAACACGCACAACTTGCCTTTCATGGACTGGTAGAATAATGTGTTTATTTGAACCATGGCAACAAATATCCTATGACCCCATTCAGTCTGGGTAACGACCTCCCAATATCAAGCGGTGTCTTAGCTTAATTACAATATAAATGCTTTTTCATGTATTTGATTTAGCCAGTGTTGGATACTGTATGGTGCCTGAGGGTAGAAGCCAGGTGTATTTCACTCATCAAATAAAGTTTTAAACTCCATTTGTCTTGGTACATTTTTTGATATTTGGACCTAGTTTATGGCAAGTGGGTGTAGAGGTAGGTGCCCAATAAATGGTATAGCTTCCCCCTGATGATTTTTTGAGAAGTGCTTATATATGTTTCATAGTTACACGTGCATTTTCTTTTCTTCTACAGTCACAGGATTCAATCTGTGGGGTGCTGTAGTGGCTACTGGCGTGGTCTGCACATTCTACTGCACTATGGTATGTCAAGAACATTATTTCTCCTTTCACTCTACACACTTGCTTTGCAAAACTGAACATTTCAATCGTTGCATGCTGCAATCTGGGTTCTTCATACCTGCCTCCCACAGTATAACTTTTTTTGTAAGGAATATTCAGTCCAGGGTAAAATTTGATCCTTTGTAGGACATTGATCATAACGGATATTTTCTTCTTTCATTTGAACCATGCCGTGGTCCCCAACCTTGTCTCCTAATTCACTCTCACTGTTGCTGTGTTACTTAGCTGTGCTTATAATATTCCTCAGCTTAGAAACCTGAGATAACTTCCCATTGCCTTTAGGCAGGAACAACAGTCAAAATATGTAAGAACCAGTATGGCATGGGCACTGATATTATCATGGATGCTGATCCTTAGCAGTGGTGCAAGCCTTATGCAACCCCTGATATTCTAGGTGTTTTGGAAGACAAGGTCCTCAAGGAGGGGCTGGTTCAGGGACTGGAGGGGGACACTTGGGAAGTTTGTGGCGGTGGCTAGTACAAAACAATTTTAGTTTTTTCAGCAACTGGTATGTCCTTCTTTGTGCATACTGGTTGAATTTCAGCCCTGCCTATAGGCTAAAATCTATGATATCGCCATTTGCAATTTGACTCTGAATTTTTTTCCCAACAATATTCCCACACCACTCCAAGGCACTCCAAAATATATATCTGGCTGCACTCAACATGCCACATATTTTAACCTCTCTAAGCTTTTGCCCAGGCTATTTTCTCTATTGGGAGGACCTTACATCTTGGACTCTGCTTATATTTGCAAGTTTGGTCTGAGTATTACCTTCCTGACTATCTCCCTGGGGGGAATTCTTGGCCAAGATCCATTTTTCGTTATCTTTCTCCAGCATGGTGTATAAGCATGTAGGTGCTTAATAATGTCTGGTAGAAGCATTAATCCTAATGTACTTTCCCCTCAAAGGGTGGTCTTAAAGCGGTTATCTGGACAGATGTTTTTCAAGTTGGGATCATGGTGGCTGGATTTGCATCTTTGATTATACAGGCTGCATTGATTCAAGGTGGAATCGGCACTATTCTAAATGATGCCTATAATGGAGCAAGATTAAACTTCTGGAAGTAAGTTGCTATTTACTTCTTGGTTAATATAACATTCCTTTTGTTTTTTTCTGTTAAAAAAATCTCTTGGCTGAAATAGTAAGTTTACATTAGAAAACAAACCAACCGTTAAGGGTGTGGTACAAAAATTTGAAGCTGGGAAGTTCATGCGTAAGGAATTTCCACCAGGTCTTTAAGGGGTTAGTCAGCTGGTAGTTAGCTACATGGAGCTGAGGATGGCACTTCCTCCTGAGAAGGGATTGATAGCAAAAGAGCATTTTCTTCCAGATATTAAAGTCTGGAATAGGTTGAAAGGTGTGGGTAGGGAAATAAGGGAAGATATACTAGAGAGAGAAGAAAAGGAAACCTCTTAAGAAAAAAACACTAAAAGACAGTGATTCCATTTTGACAGTTCTTTGTTTCAAGCAGCCTAGAGAATTTCTCTTTTAAAATTACCCTGATACTGTATAGTATATTATTATTATGCTACATATATATGTGTGTATTATATGTGTATAAATGTTACATAATGTACATTATATATTAAATATTATTTCTTGAAAATTGACTAGAAAAGTTACAGCTGTTGCCTCAAGTCTCAGTATAGCATTAAGGTATAACGTCTTCGACAACTATTTAATTTTCTTAAAGAAGGCTAATGGAGAAACTAGATATTTCATCACAAATATATCACACAATTTAAAAAAATATTTTAAACACCTTCTCTTTGGGATCAATAGTGTCTTCCTTGTACATCACATTCAACGGGCAGGGGGTGCTCATTTTGACATAGACCAAATTATTTTCTCTTTCAGCAGCCCTGTTCTGAGACAAGCAAGCTGAAATCATTGGCAAAAGGAAAGAAAATCATTTTGCACTTGGTGGCTCTCTTCCAGTTTTCTGAAAATAGGTGCTAATGTATGAGAAGAACGTCAGAAATTGAACAGGGTCAATGTGTTAATTTGCAAGAATGAATTATAGTGAATCAACTTCAGCTGTTCTCAATAGTTTTTTTTTTCTTTTACCGCAAGATTCAGATTCCAAGGAAGAGCGCCTCCAGCTGGCCTAGCGTGGGCATGATTCCATCCTGTAGCTAGTGCAGAGCAGAACATTTTGATTGACCACCATTTAGACTATTTAATGGAGAAATGGTCGTTTCCCCAAGGCAAACCTAGGCTGCTGTTACCAGAAGAAGGGGGAACGGATACCAAGAGGCAGAAACAGCCAGTGGCCACTTGGGAGACTTGGATTACTCCCAGATCTCTTCCTAGTCAGCTAGGTTGAGGGGAAAGGGTGTGGAGTCAGTCATTTTTCTGCAAAATAACTGTCACTTTATACAAAGAGTACATATACATTGCTGCATTGAAACGATAACTTATACATCAGTAAGAGATTCTAAAAAGTAAAAGATTAGACATTTTTATGACCGTTACAAGGTTGTCAACAATTAAGGAATAATGAAAAGCCTTATTGTATATCCCTTGTTATTCAGATATGTTTTGAGAATATGGTGGGCAATAAATCTGCCCTTGTTGAGATAAATGAAGGGAAGGATTTTGTGTTGGTATTTTCTGTATGGTCTATAGTTGACACATGTATTCTGTATTGCCAAAACCACTGAAGTGGATGTTTTAAATCTTGTCTTACTTCCTTCAAGTAACTCGCTGAACCCATTGGTTCTTGACTTTTATTAACTAGTATAGTAGCTACTTTCGCTATGGGAGAAAGGGCCAACACCCTTAAAACTCTTAGACTTTGATATTAAGTGTTAGAGAATGGAATAGAGGCTCTTACCTTTCCATAAGCAGGCTGGAAAATGCATAAATATGTAGCACTTTACTCAACTGATCTCAAATATAAGCTTTGAAGTGGAATTGCAGAATTTCATAATTTTCAGAAAGTTTCCATTGAAACTAATTCTGCAGAAAATTTTCAAGCTTATATTGTATATGAGAGATGAACAGACTCATTCCTTACAAGGTGATACGTTAAGAAGGATTAAAAGATGTACTGAATGTGGAAGTTGAGCTTTCTTTGTAGCAATGTTTTGTAAATGTCATAATGACTTTGAACTATGAGTACTTAGTTTGTGCACAGAGCATTTTAAGAACAGATTATAATGACATGAAAACCATTAAACTGCATTTATTGAATTCTTAAGCTTGAATATAAAGTAGAACTCTGACTATACATGTGCTAGGAGAGGAATTACACACACAAAATGTGTCAATATTGTGTTCTTTTCAGTACCATTTCTATTGCTGCAGTGTACCTGGGAATCTTTCTCTCTTTTTTCAGCTTCATGCTCCTCTCTGATTACAGCATAGCAGACTTGTTTAAATAATTTCCTATGGCCATGGGAGAACAATTTCTATAAATGCTCAGAATGATTGGAACATTCATTTTTTCCCCCGTCCCATCCAGAATTTCCAAATCTCTGAAAGTATCAATTTTTATTTCATTGAACTTAAGAATATTTCTACCTTTTATATTACTTAATCGGTACATATTTATGTATGTGTATTTATAAATATTTATTTATGTTTATGTAGGTATACATTGCTTGATTCCAAAATTACTCTAGGAAGACTTCTGTAGTGTTTGGCTGGGACTTCAAATTTGTTTTCTGTTTGTTTTCATTTAGTTTTAATCCTAACCCTTTGCAAAGACACACATTCTGGACGATTGTTATAGGAGGGACCTTCACATGGACCAGCATCTATGGAGTCAACCAATCCCAAGTGCAGAGATATATTTCCTGTAAAAACAGATTCCAGGCAAAAATGTAAGACAAACTATGGTATATGAATCATCAATAACTATCACTTGTCTTTATGGAAACTCTTTCAAAAGTCAAGCTTTGCTCAAGTTTAAGTCTTTTGTGTCATGAAATTCTAAGAGATAAATGATATACTACAAAAGGATCACATAGAACAAAGTGGCATTGTACGTTTTAAATCAGATATTTAAAAATATTTATATCAATTATTAAGTAAAACAAATCTTATCAAATAAATAGGCATTTATTGTGCATCTGTTTGTATGAGGAACTGTAGAGAATAAAAAATGATAAATGTATGACTCTTGTCATGAAGGAACTTAGCATCAAATTAGGAAAATATATGCAAGTATGTGAAAAGTAAACTAACACTAGAGGTATAACAGTTCTGTGAAACAGTATAACAATATAGAGGAAATGTTCTAGAGCATTATATTGCCAGATGTGCTGGTGCATTTTATTTTCAGGCACAGTCGTGGGTTTATAACCTTGTTCTAATACTTCTACTTGAGTGATTTGGCGTGAGTCACTTAGACTCTCCGAGCTTCAGTTTCTAAACTTGTAAAATGAGCATAAGATATCACACAACTCGTGGAGGTATTATAAAATACTGTGTTTCGCACGCATGTGGTAGGGATCCAGTAAATGTGAATTCCTTTTTCCACCTCAAATTGTGGGATGTGAAGGCAGGGGATAAGTGAGAGATTCCTGTCAAGCAGGCAGGTCCTGAAGAATGACCACATGTGGGCAGGTGAAGAAGTGTGGGAGAGCATTCTGAGTAGGCAGAGTGATTTGGGCAAAGCACAGAGGTGGGAAGGACAGCATGGTCAGGGGACTTCTCCAGCCCATCTTGGCTTCAGCGAAGAGTATGAACAATGGCTGGTTCTTTGTCAGGAGGCCTCAGATAAGCTTGGTGACTAGGGCTCTTCATGCTGATATATCAGGCTATGCATTTAGGGGCTATAAAACTCTTAAGTAGCTTGATTAAGAGTAACAAGGGGGTTGGAGTAGGAGGAGTGGCAGTTCTGTTGCTATTCAAAGGGGAATGTGAGAAATATACGAGGTCATATGTCAATATATGAGAGTAAATTGGTTTAGATATTATCTGTCTTTGGTAAATTCCACAATGAAAAATCTATATGAATATGAGTATGATAACTGGATATGGAATCCCCCAAAAGTGAGCTTAGGAGTTCTGCTACTTTAAGACACTTTAAAGGAATATAATTTATATATCCATTAATCCATCTACATTAGCACTGATGCCTCTCCCAAAGTAATTGTGCACATGCTTTTCTTTGGGAACACACTTCTTTGAGAACATGGAGCTCAAAAAGCCAATTTTACAACTGAAAGAACAGCATTAGAGCTTTCTTAGTAAGAAACAATTTCCTTCAGAATAGTCCAATATGTCTCTTTAACAAGAGCTCAGGGGGACAATTTCCTCCCACTTTTTAACATTGGCTCCATGGGAAGAATGAGTCCCAGCCAAAAAGTCAAGACCTACTGACATTGATTGACTGGGTACAATATCAGATCTACATGAATGGCATTAAAGTAAAATAAAACAATATAATAAAGTATTAACTCATATATAAGTGAGGTGTGGTGACTGAGAAAGTGTCTGGGTATATTTTCTGATGATTTGGAGATGAGATATAGTTCTAGTACTTTTAGACAATAACAAAACATGTGGTGAATGTAGTCAGTCAAGGAAAAAGGCTAGCAATCTGTTGTGGGACCTGCTGCAAGGTAGCTTCTCCCAGAAGCAGACTCTGAGATGGAGGTTAGCATGCCAGAGTCTACTAGGGCATCACCGCTGGAACAGAGAAGGAAAGGAAGGAAGAAGGATTGGCCAGAGGGAGAAGTTGGACTGTAATGCAGTCTCAACAGAGGCCTCAAGGGGAGCCCCAGGGCTGGGATGACCCTTCAGACTGTCCCAAGTTGGCCTGAGGGGACTTAGTCTTTAAACCTCTGAATCCAGTTGTCATTTTGTGCAGGCTTCTCTGGGGAAGGAGGTATGAGTTGGTGGGTGTGGGGAGACCTCTCTTCAGCCTAGGGCAACTTATCAGCGTCCACTACAGCACCCCCGGGGGGAAAATGTAGCCACCCTAGTGGGAGAAATATTTACTGTCAACTGATTATTAAGACATAGCATTCAATGATATTAACACTAATAATATCAATACCATTTAACAAGTGTTTATTACATGCCGTTGTACTATATGATATATACTATTTTATTTGGTTTCACTTATAACTCGGTGAGGTAGGCATTGTTATTTCTAGCTGTAAATGAAGAAACTGAGAGTCAGAGAGGTTAAATTACTTGCCCAAGGTCTCATATGGTAGGGAGAGCTAAGATTTATGCTCAGGACTGACTCCAGTGCTATTATGTAAACCTTTACACTCTACTGGAGCACACACCATTAATTAAAATGCTGAACATTGTTTTGGAAGATACCTGTCCAAGGAATACAGGTTTGCCTTTCCTGTATTTAATGGATGGCATCACAAACCACATTTAAACAAGCCTGACGAGTTGCCATGTAAAGGCTAACAGTGTTTAGCAGTTTATAATTGCATCACTTTTAAAGGTAAAAAGAGTAATAGTCACTGCCCTGTTGACTATTAAAATCTCTATTTCGTGACAAGACGTCCTGAAGGACTGTAACTAGACACCCCTATAAAGATAATAATGCCCATGGAACTCTGACCAGGAGGATACATTCATTCAATGGCAAAATCCCATCTATTCCAAGTATTTCCAAATACATCATAAACAGAAGGTTAGACCAGAATAAAATCCGTAGCATTTTCGAGAACCAAAAGAGAATGCACATCTATTGAGTATAATCATGAAAGTCTCTTCTATTTATGTAACAATTTTCCTCATCTTTGAGATGGAAATTAAAATTGTCATTTGCTGTTTTGTTTTCCCTTCTTTAGGTCTCTCTACATCAATCTTGTGGCACTCTGGTTGATCCTGACCTGCACAGTGCTATGTGGGCTCGCCCTGTATTCCAGATACCGTGACTGTGATCCTTGGACAGCCAAGAAAGTGTCTGCACCAGACCAGGTCCAGTACCGTGTGTTTCTTACACATGCAAGAATGACATTCAGAAAGCTTGTTGGCTGGGAGGAAAGAATGTTCATGTTCTTGTAAAGTAAGAGCAAATAGGCAAATATAATCATCTTTAGCTTCTATAAAGCATTTGGAAAAAATTTATTTTAGCAGCTATAGCAAAAATGAAGAATGCTACATCCAATAACAATATTGAAATACCTGGCAAAGTTTCAAGGTAGGTGTTAAATAGAAATAGCTCAAGGCTGGGAGTAGAAATATAAACACAGTTTAAAAAAAGCCCAAAACTATATACAAACTGTGGTACCGTGGAACATTTTATGGGTTTAGATTGTTCATTGATAAGCAGTTTACCTTCCAGTTTTTTGTTTTTTTTAAAATTTATTTGGCTGCGCCAGGTTTTAGTTGCGGCACACGGGATCTTGGTTGCCGTGTGCGGGATCTTTTTTAGTTGCAGCATGCGGGATCCAGTTCCCTGATCAGGGATCAAACCAGTGCCCTCTGCATTGGGACCACTGAGCCTTAACCACTGGACCACCAGGGAAGTCCCACCTTCCAGTTTTTAAATGATATGGAAATGGATCTAAAAGTGAACATTTATTGAGCACCAGCTATGTGATGAGGTTCTATGCCAAGAGCTTTGCATGCTTTATTTCTTTCAATTCTTACAACCTATAATTCTAATTTTATAGACAAGGAAAGGAATCTCAGAGAGGTTATATAATTTGCCCAAGGTCACATAGTTAATGAATAAGAACAGCTGCAAGCACTCATCAAATACCATGGGCCAGGCACGATTATAAGTGCTTTATATAAATTTTAACTTTTAATCCTCACAGAAACAGTGCCGTGATGATCTCCCTTTCAAAAATAAGGAAACTGAGGCACAGAGAGCTTAAATAACCAGCTGGCAAACCTGGAGCCAGGATTCAAACCCAGGCAGGCTGCCGCCAGTGTCCTAACTTTGAACCTCTATGCCATAGACCATCTTTCAGAAAGTGTAGCTAGAATCCAAACCCAGGACTGCCGGAGTCGATTGTAAATCAAGTGCCCAGGGGACTTATTAGAATGATGACACGTTGAACTTTATGTTGGTGTAAATGCATAACATACTCCCAGAAAAATACAACTTTGTGGGGTTAGGAAATGAGAGCATCCTTGATCTGTGTATCTCAACCCTATCTTAATCTTTGCCCTCCTGTTGATAAACAGATCTTTCTATTTCTTCAGAGAATCCAAGAATCGTATTTACTCTGAAGATGGAGGCACTATTCCATTATATTTTCTTTAGTCAAGAATATTTTGTGATTTTTGTCAATCGTTATTTTCTGTGAAGACCATAGGGACTAAATTTTTTTTCTAATATGGCTTCCCCTTACCCTGGGCCAAAAAAATCCAAAAAAAAACCCAAAAAACAACAAAAAAATTTTTTTAAACCTACAACTTCCTAACCTTGAGACCACTTGTCATAGATTGTACACAGGGGGTGTCTTGCATGCATGCATTTATCATTCAGAGACCATGTGATAAATTTTTGAAAAAGAAAGAGATTTTCTCTGAATTATTCCACTAGTGTGTTGATTATTAACCAGTTAATTCAATTGACATTTTCCTGGGGTTACAATGGAAGTAAGGCAGTCAGTAGAAGATCAGGTCAAAAGCTTAACCCAAGAGAGCAAAGATATGTTTCTGCTACACTCTTCTGTAGCTCACCCTGAGGAAGCCATGACCTGGATGACCTGAATGACCTGAGGGGGTCATTCAGAATCTAAAATATAAGGCCGAAGGTTTTTGAGAAAGTTGACAATAGGGTAGAGGATTTTAGATCTCGTTTTAATACTAACGGTGGAAACTTAACTTTGGCTTATGTATAGAATATTTCTTGAAGTTAAACTTGTAAGATGTCTTGGAAAAATGGGTATTGAACTCATATAGAGAGAAGCGTTATTCTCTTTTTCTGAGAATAAAGAAGTAATAAGCTTTAGTTGTTAAATGAGATCAAAGAGGCTGATGAGAATGGGCATAGCATCCACTGTGTACTATTGGGAGAAGGAATCAATGATGTTTCAATGAAATGAGAGGGCATTTTTCTAGAAAATTATCCTCTTAGGACTCTTTTGATTGCAAAACCAGTTTTGCCGAAAGACTGCCACATAACACAATGCTGAAGGCATACACCTTCCCATCCTTATTTAATATTTATTTTTTAAAAGGTAACTTATCAAAAAGCAAGTATTAGGAGTGTTTTTTTTTTAAAGAAACAAGTTGAGGAATTTTGTGAGGTTACTCTCCACTCATCACTATGTCTCATGCAACAGTTGACCCTTGAAAAACATGGGGGTTAGGAGTAGCGACCGTCTGCACAACAGAAACCTACGTATAATTTTTGACTCCCCTAAAACTTAACTACTAATAGCCTACTGTTGACCAGAAGCCTTACCGATAACATAAACAGTTGATTGACACATATTTTTTATGTTATACGGATTATATATGGTATTCTTACAATAAAGTAAGCCAGAGAAAAGAAAGTGTTATTAAGAAAATTATGAAGACAAGAAGATACGTTTACAGTACTGTACTGATTGATACCATAAGTTTACCTTGTCTGTTTACAAGATGAATCGTCTGTCAGTACCTACATCAATGTTGTCTTATGTGATACAAAACACTGCAGATGTTATACTTATTACTAACACAGGATGTCAAAAATGAAAGATAATGTGCAAAAGAAATTCATATTCATTTACAGGTATAACAAGTCATACATTGATAAAGAAGCAGCAATACGATTGCTTTATTATAGCCTAGTGTAATCGATACTATTGCTTTGTGGTAGCCTCGCCTATATGGTAATAAATGAATCATTGTAAAGTTTGGATGGCATACAGTATTACAGTCATATTGATAATACAGCATTGGAAATTTTTTTTTAAATCACGTGTGATCATCGGTTGATGCACAGTTTCTCCAATTATGAGAGAGGCATACTCTGTAGTATAATATTATTATATAAATATAATTACATAAACATAATTCTTTGAAAGCAAAGTTATAAAACAGTAAAAAAAAACCCTAACATTATTTTTATATTAAATGTCACTCACCTCATGCCTATGTAAGGGTAGGCTATCCTTGCATAGATACTATGTAATACAAATCTTGCATACGATGTTCTACACGTACATTTTTCTGTATTTATTGAAAAAAATCAACATTTACGTGGACCCACACAGTTCAAACTTGTGTTGTTCAAGGGTCAACTGTATATGCAGCTATAATTACATTTTCAATCTTGAACAGCGATTGAAGTTCACAAATATAATCTTGAGTCATCAAGTAAAGTTAAATTAAGTGAATTCTTCTTACTTAAGCACAGAGGTATGTAAAATATTTCCTTTAAATTGATTTATTATTCCAAAGAATGAGAACAGCTACCTATTACTGAGCCTATCCTGTGTACTATACTAAGAACTTACACAGATTATCTAATTTAACTCTTATAGCAACTCTGTGAGGTTAGGATTATTATTCCTATTTTACAGATGGGGAAACTGAGGCTCAGAGAAATTAAATAACAGAAGCCACATCTGTCTGAATCCAGAGCCTGTACCCTTAACTACTGTGCTATTCTTTTCTTTAAGTGTTAGCAGGTAAAGAGTTTAATTTTATATATTTGGACATTTCAGTTATGTGGAATAGCTTCCTTCAGTTCTTGAAGAAGAACAAGATAAATGAGGTGTTAATTAATTTCATTTCATAGCAAATAGTACTCAAGAGTAAATTTTGGAATTTTTCAGCTCATGCCTTATTTGGCACTGGACATTCTGCAAGATTATCCGGGACTTCCTGGACTTTTTGTGGCCTGTGCTTACAGTGGAACATTAAGGTATGAACTATGACTCTAATAATATAAGATTTCCCTTTTGGGATCTTTCTTTTGTTATTGGATATTTGCGGAGGATAAAGCTGAATTCTGGACCTGAGCACAAATGGCCCTCATATAGGTAATGTACTCCATGTCTTCTCTCTGTTGGTCCAACTCTTCTCTCTAGGGGCTGGATATTGTCATCAGTCTCTTTTGTTTTTTTAATTAATTAATTAATCAGTTAACTTTTGGCTGCGTTGGGTCTTCGTTGCGGTGCGCGGGCTATAGGCCCTCAGGCCTAAATCAACTATACTTCAATAAAAAAAATTTTTTTTAAGTAATGTAGTAGAAATCTGGTTATATTTCAGAAGTGACAATATGTTTTCCCTTTTCTTTTACCTTATTAAAGTATTATTAAAGTTTAAACATTATTAATCAAAATTGTGATTTTCCCTTACAGCACAGTGTCCTCCAGTATTAATGCCTTAGCAGCAGTAACTCTGGAAGACCTAGTAAAATCTCGCTTCCAATCTCTCTCAGAAAGGTCTCTCTCTTGGATTTCCCAAGGAATGAGTAAGTTTTTGTTTCACAGTTCCATTTTAGCTCTGGGAGATGATTTTTAGAAATACCAGAAATTCTTTTCCATGGAAAATAGAGAGTAAGTGAGTGTGAACGTATATACACTCACATGCATGTGACTTAATGCAGTCATGGCCATATTTGCAATCAAGATTTGAGACATACTTCAAACAATTGTCAGGCCACCACAAAAAACAATTACCAGGGGCTTCCCTGGTGGCGCACTGGTTGAGAGTCCGCCTGCCGATGCAGGGGACACGGGTTCGTGCTCCGGTCCGGGAAGATCCCACATGCCGCAGAGCGGCTGGGCCCGTGAGCCATGGCCGCTGAGCCTGCGTGTCCGGAGCCTGTGCTCCGCGGTGGGAGAGGCCACAACAGTGAGAGGCCCACGTGCCGCAAAAAAAAAGAACAATTGCCAGGGGTGCCATTTGGCTAGCCTTCTTTCCTACCTTCTTCCTATCCCACATCTATGTTAAAATTCTTAGCCATAGTTAAAAATTTAACCCTTTACCATCTAAAACTTAGACCCCAGTTTTAAGAAATATTCTTAGTTTGGAACCAAGAGCCATGCTTTTTCTGTATTACGTAAGAGGGCACTGCCAGTCTAAGATATAGTCTGTGTGTATGGATTGAAGATAAAGGAACAGAGCATTATGATTTTTTACTGGTCTTGATTGTCTGTTCTCTCTGCACATGTAGACTGTCCAGAAGATAATCAATAAAATTGTCCAAGGTATGCTTAACTCCTTCATTTAATATGAATGCTTAAATTCATAGATTATAGGACCTTATTAGGGGTTAGGTATCATATTGAATGGAAAGGTCTTTAACCTCAGTTCCCAGATGTCCCAGCTGTAATAGCTGACTCAAAAAAATCTGGCTAGTGTACTTCCTTCTTCATTTTCAAATCTTGGGTATACATGTTTTGGGATGAATGACTAACGAACTTATTATTTTAAAAAGAATCTTTAACCTCAATAGCACTAATAGACTGTCAAAGACATAGTAAATAATATTCTGTTTTAAACCATAGTTCTATGTGTAATTGCCATGACTGTAGCCTGGAATAAGTACTTAATTTATATTCTTCAGTGTCCCCTAAATTTGACTAGCATTGCATCATTTTATTATGTACCTGATTTTAATCCTGGAGCGTAATTTCAGAATGATACAATGTTTCCTAAAGGGTATTTAGATGGGTTCATTATGGGATTGTTGAAGCTGTGTGGTTTAGTAGAACGAATAGAAGTTTTTTTTTGTTTGTTTGTTTTTTGCGGTACGCGGAGCTCTCACTGCTGTGGCCTCTCCCGCCGCGGAGCAACAGGCTCCGGACGCGCAGCCTCAGCGGCCATGGCTCACGGGCCCAGCTGCTCCGCGGCACGTGGGATCCTCCCGGACCGGGGCACGAACCCGTGTGCCCTGCATCAGCAGGCGGACTCTCAACCACTGCGCCACCAGGGAAGCCCCGAATAGAAGCTTTTGAAGCTAGACAGACTCAGTCTTGTTTCACCAGTTAACTAGCTGTTAGCCTTGAGCAAACCCATCTGAGCCTCTGTTTCTTTATATGGAAAATGAGAACAAAAAATATTCACTTTGCGGGTACTATGAGGTTTAGAGATAATCCATGTAAAACAAGAGCCACTAACTGGTACTCAGGAACGATGTTGATTATTAATAACAAATCAACTCCGCTAGTGTAGATGAGGCTTTCATTCATTTTGAAAGGTTGTATATAGTCATTATCTTGAGGTATATACAGTAAGGTCATCATAGAGAAGCACACGGCAAATGACTTGAATGTTTCCGATAACTTTTGAGTACAAAAAAACCACAATGGTGACCATTCATGAGCTGCCAAATAGAGAGGAATTTAGCTAAATATGTTGGAAATACTGTTTAGAATAGAGTTTGGAGGCATGAAAAATCATTGCAACAAAAGCACTTTGAAAAAATTAATGTAAGTTATTCAGGTGCAATAAGATTATTTACTCACTATGCTTAACAAAGGTGTGAGTGCTTGTGTTAAGATAGAAATAACATAAGGAATGCACTAATTTTTTGATGAACACATTTCTCATTCATTTTATTTTTTGTATTTTGAAGTTTATATGTAGGAAATTATATTAACAGATTTCAGGTGATTTTTGCTGAATAGAAGTCTTTAAAAATAAGAATAGGGGGTGGGTTTAATAAAAAAAAATTTTTTCCCATAGTAATTTTAAAAGCAAAATGTATACTTGGAGAAAATCTGGAAAATACTGAAAGCCAAAAGAGAAAAAAAAAATCCCTTAAGCTGACCACTGATGGTGGCTTGAGAATTTGTATAAAGTTTCAGGAAAATAGTTTGGTAGAAGGGGGAATATAATACTTGTCCTGAAACTGCCTTTCTTTGCTAGCTTAACAGGAAAGGTTTGTGGATGTTGATGGAGATTATGCGAAGGTTAAAGGTCCTAAAACACTCTTTGGTGTGGATTGCTACTTCCCAGGAGAAATGAACACTTAAATTCAGAAGACTTTCTGAAGTTTATTACTCCCTTCCCCCATCATGTTATACAGAGCAGAGCTGAATTGCATCCTATTTCTGGCAAACTGAAAACAGACACCTGAGCCTTCCTTTTTTTTTTTTTTTTTAACATCTTTATTGGAGTATAATTGCTTTACAACGGTGTGTTAGTTTCTGTTTTATGACAAAGTAAATCAGCTATACATACACATATATCCCCATATCGCCTCCCTTTTGTGTCTCCCTCCCACCCTCCCTATCCCACCCCTCTAGGTGGTCACAAAGCACTGAGCTGATCTCCCTGTGCTATGCGGCTGCTTCCCACTAGCTATCTATTTTACGTTTGGTAGTGTATATATGTCCATGCCACTCTCTCACTTCCTCCCAGCTAACCCTTTCCCATCCCTGTGTCCTCAAGTCCATTCTCTACGTCTGCGTCTTTATTCCTATCCTGCCCCTAGGTTCTTCAGAACCTTTTTGTTTTTTTAGATTCCATATATATGTGTTAGCATATGGTATTTGTTTTTCTCTTTCTGACATAGTTCACTCTGTATGACAGTCTCAAGGTCCATCCACCTCACTACAAATAACTCAATTTTGTTTCTTTTTATGGCTGAGTAATATTCCATTGTATATATGTGCCACATCTTCTTTATCCATTCATCTGTTGATGGACACTTCGGTTGCTTCCATGTCCTGGCTATTGTAAATAGAGCTGCAATGAACATTATGGTACATGAATCTTTTTGAGTTATGGTTTTCTCAGGATATATGCCCAGTAGGGGGATCACTGGATCGTATGGTAGTTCTATTTTTAGTTTTTTAAGGAACCTTCATACTGTTCTCCATTGTGGCTGTATCAATTTACATTCCCACCAACAGTGCAAGAGTGTTCCCTTTTCTCCACACCCTCTCCAGCATTTATTGTTTGTAGATTTTTTGATGATGGCCATTCTGACTGTTGTGAGGTGATACCTAATTGTAGTTTTGATTTGCACTTCTCTAGTGATTACTGATGTTGAGCATCCTTTCATGTGTTTGTTGGCAATCTGTATATCTTCTTTGGAGAAATGTCTATTTAGGTCTTCTGCCCATTTTTGGATTGGGTTGTTTGTTTTTTTGATATTGAGCTGCATGATCTCCTTGTAAATTTTGGAGATTAATCCTTTGTCAGTTGCTTCGTTTGCAAATATTTTCTCCCATTCTGAGGGTTGTCTTTTTGTCTTTTTATGGTTTCCTTTGCTATGCAAAAGATTTTAAGTTTCATTAGGTACCATTTGTTTAGTTTTGATTTTATTTCCATTTCTCTAGGAGGTGGGTCAAAAAGGATCTTGCTGTGATTAATGTCATAGAGTGTTCTGCCTATGTTTTCCTCTAAGAATTTTATAGTGTCTGGGCTTATATTTAGGTCTTTAATCCATTTTGAGTTTATTTTTGTGTATGGTGTTAGGAAGTGTTCTAATTTTATTCTTTGACATTTAGCTGTCCAGTTTTCCCAGCACCCTTATTGAAGAGAGGCTGTCTTTTCTCCATTGTATATTCTTGCCTCCTTTATCAAGGATAAGGTAACCATACGTGTGTGGGTTTATCTCTGGGCTTTCTATCCTGTTCCATTGATCTGTATTTCTGTTTTTGTGCCAGTACCACACTGTCTTGATTACTGTAGCTTTGTAGTATAGTCTGAAGTCAGGGTGCCTGATTCCTCCAGCTCCATTTTTCTTTCTCAAGATTGTTTTGGCTATTTGGGGTCTTTTGTGTTTCCATTCAAATTGTGAAAATTTTTGTTCTAGTTCTGTGAAAAATGCCAGTGGTAGTTTGGTAGGGATTGCATTGAATCTGTAGATTGCTTTGGGTAGTAGAGTCATTTTCACAATGTTGATTCTTCCAAACCAAAAACATGGTATATCTCTCCATCTGTTTGTATCATCTTTAATTTCTTTAATCAGTGTCTTATAGTTTTCTGCATATAGGTCTTTTATCTCCTTTGGAAGGTTTATTCCTAGGTATTTTATTCTTTTTGTTGCACTGGTAAATGGGAGTGTTTCCTTAATTTCTCTTTCAGGTTTTTCATCATTAGTTTATAGGAATGCAAGAGAATTCTGTGCCTTAATTTTGTATCCTGCTACTTTACCAAATTTATTGATTAGCTCTAGGAGTTTTCTGGTAGCATCTTTAGGATTCTCTATGTATAGTATCATGTCATCTGCAAACAGTGACAGTTTTACTTCTTCTTTTCCAATTTGGATTCCTTTTATTTCTTTTTCTTCTCTGTTTGCTGTGGCTAAACCTTGCTAAACTATGTTGAATAATAGGGGTGAGAGTGGGCAACCTTGTTTTGTTCCTTATCTTAGTGGAAATAGTTTCAATATTTCACCATTGAGCATAATGTTGGCTGTGGGTTTGTCATATATGGCCTTTATTATGTTGAGGAAATTCCCTCTATGCCTACTTTCTGGAGGGTTTTTATCATAAATGGGTGTTGAATTTGATCGAAAACTTTTTCTGTATCTATTGAGATGATCATATGGTTTTTATCCTTCACTTTGTTAATATGGTGTATCACATTGATTGCTTTGCGTCTATTGAAGAATCCTTGCATTCCTAGGATAAATCCCACTTGATCATGGTTTGTGATCCTTTTAATGTGCTGTTGGATTCCATTTCCTACTCCTCAATACACTAGTTTATTGTGTATACAGCCTCCATTTGTTTGTATTTTTTACAGATTTTTTCCTGTAATTGACATCTACTCTCATAGCGTTGTGGTCGGAAAAGATAATTGATATGATTTCAATTTTCTTAAATTTACCAAGGCTTGATTTGTGACCCAAGATATCCATCCTTGAGAATGTTCCATGAGCTCTTGAGAAGAAAGTGTATTCTTTTGTTTTTGGATGGAATGTCCTATAAATATCAATTAAGTCCATCTTGTTTAATGTATCATTTAAAGCTTGTGTTTCCTTATTTATTTTCATTTTGGATGATCTGTCCATTGGTGAAAGCATGGTGTTAAAGTCCCCTACTGTTATTGTGTTACTGTCGATTTCCCCTTTTATGGCTGTTAACATTCGCCTTATGGATTGAGGTGCTCCTATGTTGGGTGCATAAATATTTACAATTGTTATATCTTCTTCTTGGATTGATCCCTTGATCATTATGTAGTGTCCTTCTTTGTCTCTTCTAATAGTCTTTATTTTAAAGTCTATTTTGTCTGATATGAGAATTGCTACTCCAGCTTTCTTTTGATTTCCATTTGCATGGAATATCTTTTTCCATCCCTTCACTTTCAGTCCATATATGTCCCTACGTCTGAAGTGTATCTGTTGTAGACAGCATACATACGGGTCTTGTTCTTCCATCAATTCAGCCAGTCTATGTCTTTTTTGCTGGAGCATTTAATCCATTTACATTTAAGGTAATTATCGATATGTATGTTCCCATTACCATTTTCTTAATTGTTTTGGGTTTGTTATTGTGGGTCTTTTCCTTCTTTTGTGTTTCCTGCCTAGAGAAGTTCCTTTAGCATTTGTTGTAAAGTTGGTTTGGTGGTGCTGAATTCTCGTAGCTTTTGCTTGGCTGTAAAGTTTTTAATTTCTCCGACCTATCTGAATGAGATCCTTGCTGTGTAGGGTAATCTTGGTTGTAGGTTTTTCCTTTCATCACTTTAAATATGTCCTGCCACTCCCTTCTGGCTTGCAGAGTTTCTGCTGAAAGATCAGCTATTAACCTTATGGGGATTCCCTTGTATGTTATTTGTTGCCTTTCCCTTGCTGCTTTTAATATTTTTTCTTTGTATTTAATTTTTGCTGGTTTGATTAATATGAGTCTTGGCATGTTTCTCCCTGGATTTACCCTCTATGGGATTCTCTGCGCTTCCCGGACTTGATTGACTATTTCCTTTCCCATAATAGGGAAGTTTTCAGCTATAATCTCTTCAAATATTTTCTCAGTCCCTTTTTTTTTCTCTTCTTCTTCTGGGACCCCTATAATTCAAACGTTGGTGTGTTTAATGTTGTCCCAGAGGTCTATCAGATTTTCCTCAATTCTTTTCATTCTTTTTTCTTTATTCTGCTCTGTGGTAGTTATTTCTACTATTTTATCTTCCAGGTCACTTTTCCATTTTTCTGCCTCAGTTATTCTTCTATTGATTCCTTCTAGAGAATTTTTAATTTCATTTATTGTGTTCATCTTTGTTTGCTCTTTAGTTCTCCTAGGTCCTTGTTAAACGTCCCTTGTATTTTCTCCATTACTATCATTCCTCTGAATTCTTTTTCAGGTAGACTGCCTATTTCCTGTTCATTTGTTTGACTGGTGGGTTTTTACCTTGCTCCTTCATCTGGCGTATTTCTCTGTCTCCTCATTTTGCTTAATTTACTGTGTTTGGGGTCTCCTTTAGTAGGCTGCAGGTTTTTAGTTCCTGGTTTTTTTGGTGTCTGCCCCCAGTGGGTAAGATTGATCCAGTGGGTTATGTAGGCTTCCTGGTGGAGGGAACTGGTGCCTGTGTTCTGGTGGATGAGGCTGGATCTTGTCTTTCTGGCGGGCAGGACCACATCAGTGGTGTGTTTTGGTGTGTCTGTGAACTTATTATGATTTTAGGTAGCTTCTCTGCTAATAGGTGGGGTTGTGTTCCTTTCTTGCTAGTTGTTTGGCATGGGGTGTCCAGCACTGGAGCTTGATGGTTGTTGAGTGGAGCTGGATCTTAGCATTGAGTCGGGGATCTCTGGGAGAGCTCTGGCTGATTGATATTAAATGGGACCAGGAGGTGTCTGGTGGACAAATGTCCTGAACTCAGCCCTCCCACCTCAGAGGCTCAGGCCTGACAGCCGGCCAGAGCACCAAAACCCTGTCAGACACAGCTCTGAGAAGCAATGGCATGCTGGCATGCAATCTGGGAAGGATGTAGGACATCAATAGAACCGGTGATGTTCTAAGCCAGGCCAGAGGTTGGAAGACTTTTTTTAGATTGCTGGTTTGTTGTAAAAGGATATAACTCAAAAACAGCCAGCTGGAAGAGATGAATATGGCAAGATATGGAAAAGGGCATGGAGCATCCATGTCGTCTCTGAGCATACCACATGTTCACCAACCCAGAAGCTCCCTGAACCTTCCTTTACCAACAAATGTTTATGGAGGATTACATTAATAACACAATAGTTATTAGGTTTTAAATCTCTATAGTTAATTTTAGGGAATCTTTACCTATATAACCTAATGTAATTAATCCTGGGCCACAATATCAGTGTTTTCTTTCCTCTTTGCATACTAGTTCCCTTTCCTTTTTTAGCTGGCTCTGAGGTATGTGGCCATTCTTTATTGTAGTCATATTATGTACTTTGAATCAAGGTGTGATAGCTTATTCTATTGAGAATTCTAATCCTCTGAGTCTGGATTTTACAATGGCTTTTACATCATCCATCTAGGTGTGCTGTTTGGAGCTTTGTGTATTGGAATGGCTGCGCTGGCATCACTAATGGGAGCTCTGTTGCAGGTAAGAGCTAATCCTGGAAGGTTTGAGTCATAATCACTAAATTCTTCTTCTTTTCCTTTTTTTTTTTTTTTAAGTGTTGATGTGACCATCCTTACAGACTTTTCTCTCTATATGTCTACACATAGACATACCAAGGAACATAGATGACTAAATTCTTTAAAAAATTTTTGTTAATTAATCTTTCCATTTTGAGATCATTATAGATTTACATGCAATACTAAGAAATAATACAGAGAGATCCCATATACCCTTTACCCAGTTCCCTCAATGGTATGAGACCTAGGTTGATGTTCTTTTTTTCCCTTTTCCCGGTGGATGTCCTGTTGCTCTAACACCACGTGTTGTGAAAGCTGTCTTTCTTCCATTGAATTGCCTTTGCACCTATGTGAAAAATCAGTGGGGCATATTTGTGTGGGTCTATTTGTGGTTTCTTTGTTCTATTCCATTGATCTATGTGTCTGTCCATCTGCCAAGATCATACAGTCTTGATTACTATAGCTCTGTAATAAGTCTTGAATTCAGACGTACTGATTCCTCCCACTTTATTCTTATTTTTCAAAATTGTTTTAACTGTTCTAGTTCCTTTTCCTTCCCATATAAAGTTTAGAATAATCTCTATATCTAAAAAAAATCCTGCTTAGTTTTTGATAGGATTGCCTTAAACCTGTAAAACAATTTGGGAAGAACTGACATTTTTACTGTGTCAAATCTTTTAATCCATGAACGTAGTGTATTTCTTCATTTATTTATATTTCCTATGATTTCTTTTCCACCACTACTGTGTAATTTTCATATACAAGTCATGTTTATATTTAGTTAGATTTACACCTAAGTATTTCTTTTTTTTTTGAGTGATTGTACACGGTATTGTATTCTTAATGTTGGTGTCCATGTGTTTGTTATTATATAAAGATACAATTGATTTTTGTATATTTGTTTGTATCCTGTGACCTTGCTGAACTTATTAGTTCCTGGGATTTTCTACAGATAAAATTATATCATCTTCAAATTGGGATAGTTTTATACCTTCTTTTCCAATCTGTATATGTACCTTTAATTTCCTTATTGCCCTGGCTTCAACTTCCACATCATGTTGAATAAGAGTGGTGAAAGTGGACATCATTGCCTTGTTCTCCAATCTGAATGAGAAAAGCATTCAGTGGTTCATTCTTGAGTACATCACCTGTAGGATTTTTGTACATGCCCTTTACCAAATTAAGGAAATTCCCCTCTATTCCTATTTTTCTGAGAGTTTTTATCATGGATGAGTGTTGAATTTTGTCAAATGGTTTTTCTGCAGCATTCGATATGACAATATGATTTTCTTCTTTAGCCCTTTAACATGGTGTATTATGCTGATTGATTTTCAAATTTTAAGCTGGCATTGCATTCCTGGAATAATCTTCTCTTGGTCATGGTGTATAGTTATTTTTATATATTGCTGAACTCTATTTGCTGATAGTATGCTAAGAATTTTTGCATCTATATTCATGAGAGATGCTGATCTGTGGTAATATTTTTTTGTAATGCCTTTTCTTGGTTTTGGTGTTAGGGTCATACCAGCTTCATAAAATAAATTGGGAAGAGTTCTCTCCTACTTTCTGGAAGAGATTGTATAAAATTGGTGTTAATTCTTCTTTAAGTGTTTGGTAGAATACTCTAGTGAAACCATCTGGGCTTGGGGGTTTCTTTTTTGGGAGTTTAAAAATTATGAATTCAGTTTCCTTAATAGTTATAGCTGTTCAAATTATCTGCTTCATAGTGGATGAATTATGGTAGTTTTTGTTTTTGAGGAATTGCTCCATTTCATCTAAGTTGTCAAATTTAGGTGTGTGGAATTATTCATAGTATCCCCTTATTATACTTTTGATGTCGGCAGGGTTTTTAGTGATATCTCCTGTTTTATTCATAATATTGGTAATTTTATCTTTTATCTCTTTTTTTAGTCTTGCTAGCGGTTTGTCAATTTTTATTCATATTTTGAAAGAACTAGCTTCTTGTTTCATTGATTTTCTGTATCATTTTTCTGTTTTAAATCATTGCTTTTTAAAATTATCTTCATTATTTTCTTCCTTCTGCTTGCTTTGGGTTTATTTTGCTCTTCTTGAGGTGTGACACTAGATTACTGATTTGAGACTTTTTGGTAATGTGTGCACTAATTGCTAAAAATCTCCCTCTCAGCACTTTTAGCTATGTCCCATAACTTTTCATATTTTGTATTGGAGTTTTAAAATTTCCTTTGATATGTCCTTTTGACCTGTAGATTATTTAAAAATATGTTGCTTAGTTTCCAATTGTTTGGAGATTTTCCTGTTATCTTTCAGCTGTTGATTTCTAATTTCATTCCAATGTGGTCAGAGAACACATTCTGTATGATTTTAATTCTTTTAAATTTGTTGAGGTCTGTTTCATGGCCCAGGATATAGTATTTTGGTATCTGTTACATGGGCACCTGAAAAGAATGTGTACTCTGCTGTTAAGCATAGTGTTCTACAGGTGTCAGTTAGATCCTGCTCATTGATGGTGCTGAGTTCTTCTGTATCCTTCTGATTTTACGCTTATTTGTTTTTATCAATTGTTGACAGAAGTGGTGAATTCTCAACCTATAGTGTGTAGTTGTCTCTTTTCCTTTTAGTTCTATTAGTTTTTGCTTGTATTTTGCAGTTCTCTTGTTTGGTGCATATACATTTAGGATTTTGATGGCTTCTTGGTGAATTAGTCCTCTTATCATTATATAATGTTCCTCTCTGATAATTTTCTTTGTCTGAAAACTACTTTATCTGATATTAAATAGTTAATAGTACTCCTGCTTTCCTTTGATTAATGTTTGCATGATATCCTTTTACTTTGAACTTGACTATATCATTATATCTTAAGTGAGTTTTTTGTAGACAGCATGTAGTTGGGTTATGTTTTTAAATTCATCCTGCCAATCTCTGTCTTTTTATTGGGGTATTTAGACTTTTAAAATTTAGTATAATTATTGGAATATTAGGGCTTAAGTCTGCTGTTTTTTGTTATGTTTGTTCTTTCTGTTTTCATTTTTTTAAGTGGGATACTTAAACATTTTTTAGAATCCCATTTTGATCTATCTATATTGTTTTGAGTTTCCTCTTAGTGTAGCATTTTCATTTGTTGCTTTATGTGTATATACATAACTTATCACAGTCTACTTGTTTTGTCCTTTTACCAATCCGAGTAAAGTATAGAAATCTTACCTCATTTCTGTCTCTTTACCCAGTTTATAACACAACTGTTTTAAATATTTACTCTGCATACATTTTGAATTACATTAGACAGTGTTATAATTTTTGCTTCAACAATCAAACATGATTTAGAAAACTCAAGAGGAGGAGGAAAGCCTATTATATTTATTTTTGCTTATTGTGTTCTTTCTTTCCTCCTGATTTCTCAAGGTTCCTTCTTTTACCATTTCCCTTCTATTTAGAGAACTTCCTTTAGCCATTCCTTTAAGGATAAGTCTGCTGGCAACAAATTTTCTTAGTTTCCCTTTATCTGAGAATGTATTGATTTCCCCTTTATTCCCAAATGATATTTTTGCCAGGTATAGGATTCTGAGTTGACAGTTCTTTTTTTCCAACACTTGAAAAATATTGTGCCGCTTTCTTCTGGCTTCCATTATTTTTAAGGAGAAATCTGCTGCCATTCTAATTGTTTTCCCCTATAGGTAAGGTGTCATTTTTTTTCTCTGGCTGCTTTCAGAAATTTTTCTTTGAAGTTAGTTTACAGAAGTTTAATTACGATGTGTCTTGGCATGTTTTTCTTTGGGTTTATTCTGTTTGTAGTTTGCTTAGCTTTTGAATCTGTAGGTTTATGTTTCTTGCCAAATTTGGGAAGTTCAAACATTATTTCTTTGAGTACTTTTCAGCACCACTCTCTTTCTTTTCTTACCTAAGACTCGGATGACATGAATGTTAGATTTTTTGTTATATTCACATAGGTCCTGGTGACTGATTTTTAAGCCTATTTTCTCTCTGCTTTTTTCAGATTGGGCAGTTTTTATTGGTCTATCTTCCTGTTCACTGATTCTTTTCTCTTTCCCCCCAATTCTGCTGTTGAACCTATCCACTGAGATTTTTATTGAAGTTATTATATTTTCAGTTCTAAAATTTACATTTTGTTCTTTTTTATATCATCTATGTTTTTGCTGATACTTTCTTTTTTTTTTTTTTGCTAAGGCCTTCTACTTTTTCATTTGTTTGAAGCATGTTCTAATTGCTGAAGCAGTTTTATCATGGCTGCTTGAAAATTTGTGAAATAATTCTAATATATCTGTCACTTCTCTATCAGCATTTATTGATTGTCTTTTTTCATTCATTTTGAGATCTTCCTAATTCCTGCTCTGAAAAGTGAACTTCAGTTGAAACCTGGACATTTTTATATTATGTGGTGAGACTATAGATCTTACATGCACCTTCTGTTTTGGTTTTCTTTCTCTGATACCACTTCAGCAGTGTAAGGGAGGGAGCTGTCTCATTACTGCCAGGTGGATGTAGAAGTCCAGGTTCCCAAGTTGGCCTCTGTTGACATCCAAGGGAGGAATTTCTTATTTTGCTGGGTGGGAACAGTCTCCACTGACATCATGGTGAAGGTGGTCTTGTTCCTGCTGGGCAATGGTGAAAGTCCTGATTCTCCATTAGGCCTCCTATGACATTGCCTGAGCAGGGAGGGAATGGGGTGCCTTGTTATAGGCTGGTGGGGGATGGAATCTAGACTCCCTACTTGGCCTTTTCTGGCATGTGTATGTGGGGGAACAGTTTATTCTGTGGCATTTGGCTGGAATTGAGCAGTTATTATCTAAAAGTTTTTTCTTTCTTGCTAAGTTGCTCCTTTTCTGGTCTTTGCTGGATTTTTTTGGCCTGCACATATTGTCATTTCTGGATTGCCAGCTTCTTCAGCTCTAAGACTGGGATATGTGGGCCAAAAAGAAAACTCAGAGACCTCACCATTATATTGTTCTTCAGGTCCTGAAGTCCTAG